GTATAACAGAATAGCTTTAGTGTAGTTGTTGTTTTAAACTTGAGTATGAAGTTATACAAAATGCAGCAAGATATTTAAAAAACAGTTTTGTTGATTAAAAATCACTATATCGGATTCATATCGGTATCGGCAGATATCCAAATTTATGATATCGGTATCGGTATCGGACATAAAAAAGTGGTATCGTGCCATCTCTACTCCATGGTAGGATTTAGTGGAAGTAACACGCTAAGCACATAAGCCTGTTATAACACATGTATGAGTATGGTGGCATACATTAAAGGGAGGCTGGATGTTATACCTCAGCTAATCTCTTACCACAACACCTACAGGTGTTTAAATACTGTAAAAATGCCATTTGTTATTTAGATATGGATAGAGATGAAAGGGAAAACATTGTGTAGTTATTATTCATTTCATTTTACGTTTAGCAGATTTCGGTGTAAGAATAGAATGAAATAAAATACTATTTAAAACAAAGGAAAAAAAGTTTGAGCGTTCAGGGGCCTGCTCTTGTTTTTAACTTTTTAACTTTAATGATTCATTAAAAAAAGAATCAGGTTAAAGGATCTAAAAGAAATCCAGAAAATCTTGTATCCTACTCTATATTCTCAAAAGTAACAGCTATTCATGGAATGTTTGTCACAAATAAAAAATTTTAATCTTTAGAACTTAAATATTTTAGCATAGCATGCAAACTATAAAGAACTGCAACAGGTCTTCTGTAAATTGAAGCTGAATGCTCACATTCTGGTTATATTGTAAGAAGTGAAATATTTCTGATTTATCGGTTATTAGATTCACTGGCCTGCTCTGAAGGAAAACGTGGAAATGTGCAAACTGGCTGGCAAAAATGAAAATGTAAGTGTTTCTAAAGAAATCTATAGATTTTAAGTTTCTGTGATTACTAAATGTACCTGTTCAATCAGTCCTTCCAGTGTACCTCATACATGTTCTTTTTCTGTCCCTGCTTGTTCCAGCTGGAATGTGCAAATTTTATCAGGGTCCTTCACAATTACAACCGAACACATGTCTATGCCTGTGGGACAGGGGCCTTCCACCCCACTTGTGCATTCATTGAAATCACTGGCCACAAAAAGGTAAAGTGGGCATGAGTGGATCTTAACAGGAAACATTTTGACTAGAGTCGATAAATAGGCTTACGTTTGTGAATCCTCTTAATTTTGTCTCTCAGGATGGCGTTTTGAAGCTGCTGTCTAATACAGAGGAGTCTGGCAGGTTGAAATGTCCTTTTGATCCCTTGCAGCCATTTACATCAGTCCTCACAGGTAAGATAACATAGGTGACATTGTACAAAGCAGTCCTCTACCTGCCTTATCTTTTATTGAGCGAGAATTTTATAGCTGCAGAGCGCCACGCTTCACTTCACTCAGTTATTTGCAATGAATTTGTATTCATGTCTTTGTTTGTCAGCCCCCCATTTTTGGGGGCCAAGAAAGACACAAGCTTACGTGTCTCTGCAGCAACAACAAAGTTACTTGGCAGACAAATGCAAACAATTGTGTCTCTTGCATGTGCTTGTTTCAGTATGTTAATTGAAATCTTACTCACTCTGTATATATTTTAAAAAAGCTGTAACATTTGTTTTCTAAGTCTACTGTGCTTCTATTTAGATCAGTACCTGTATGCGGGCACATCTTCAGACTTCCTGGGCAAAGATACAACGTTCACACGCTCCCTAGGCCCTCCTCCTGACCAACACTACATACGCACAGACATCTCTGAAGACTACTGGATCAATGGTACACACATGCTTGCACACATCCACGTTAACAGGCTGACTGCACTCCAAACTTGTTATTGCTTTTTCGCATAACTTCTGGCCTCTCTACTGATACAAAGAGCCTCTCTGTGCCCTCAGGATGGTTATTGGCATTCCAGAGGGAAGGAAACAGCCCACTTACTCATTTAGCTGGAACTTTTATATGATTGCCATAGCTGAGCCAGGACCACGCCTATGGGGGAATTTACAGTGTGCCACAAAGTTCACAGTCCTAGTCACACCGCATGTTAGCCAGGGGTATGCACAGTCATCACTTAGTACTGAGGAGTGACCTTCTCTGCATGCATCATCTCCTGTTTGCAGTGTTTTATAGCCACTGATGGACTGTCATGTATCAACAGTTGTCACTAGAACCTAAATCCTTACACATGGTCTCCACATTTCACAACTACACAGTCAGAGATTTTTGGAGTAATGCGCGCTCTCTCTCTCCCTCTCCCTCTCTGTCGGTGTGTGTAAACAGTGAGTGTCGACACAGGGCGGCCGTCTCGTTTTCCCATTTCTCGGAGTGTTTCGGTGTTTCAGTGGAACATCTTTTCATGACTAGCAACGACCTTCTGTCCCATGTGTTAGCTATAATGCATTAAGCCGTTCCAGTTGGGGAATCACCCTCTAGTGGTTGGCTTGGCTTCTAGGTGTCGAGCTAATGTTGATGTAATGTCACTGTAACGTTTAAACTTTTGGGCCTGTTCCCTCCTCATGGCAACATGCTGTTGTTTCTCCTCACTGCTATTTTCCTACATCATATGCAGCACTTGTTGTTTTAATATAGTGTCCAGTGCCGTAAATGCAGTTGAAAATTGTGCTTACTAATAATTCTTAGTAGCTTGAACAGTTAAAATCAATCCAAAAATAACCTATTTGCCCTCCAGTAATTTTCAGAGGCAAACATGCTTTGTGCAGTTTAACTGTATTGTAAGTATTAATTATCCATTTGATAATTAGGAAGTGTACAGATTAAATTTTGCACATACACACAGGATCATCACATAAAACATAATATATTCTTATTCATAGGCCCGTGACAGTTTTATTTTTTAATTTTTTCACAATCAAAAACATTTTAGACATAGAATTATCTCCCAACTCTTTTGTTCCATTCAGATGTCTGGACTGTTTGAAGTTTTTTCTGCTGTATCTTCCTTTGCAATTGTTGCATTCACCGCTGTCCTGCTTTACTGTCACCTTTGCATCAGCATTGTGTCTAACCACAGCAGGTACTTCCCTTCGCATCATTCAGTTTTTAAATGTTTGCTAAAACATCTAGAAGTATCGTGTCAGTTTCATGTTGATAGATTGCTTTCACGTCCCAAAGAGGCCAAAAAAACCAGTAACAAAGATTTTAAGTACAGGACATATACACTTGCCATAGATGCTCACATATAAATCAGATGTTTAACCCAGGGTGTGTAAGAGTATCTTTATGCTGCACTGATGTATAATTGATACTGCCTCACATACTGAAAATCATGTAAATTTAAACAAAACTGCTTTTAAAGTCAATTAAATCTTCTTTTACAATTGCTGCATGTACCTAAGTGCAGTTTATGTTCAGCCCATTTCAGCTTTACACTTAGTAAAGAGAGAGTAATACATCAAATCTCTCTGCAGAAATAGAAGACGACTGTAAATAAACACACGCTAAGTGTAGTTTTAATGCTACCTTAAGACTGCAGTTCATGCCAAAACCATTATGACTCATTTTAATGCTATTTCCTCTGTCTTCTCCATTCTGTGTCTTCAGAGGCCAGGTTTATAGCTGCCCATCCCATTGCAGACACCTACAATCCAGATGATGATAAAGTATACTTTTTCTTCCGCGAGGTCTCCTGGGAAGGCAACGACAAAAGCATCCTCTCCCGAGTGGCTCGTGTGTGCAAGGTGAGATATTACAGGAGAGAGGTGTGGAAAGTAGGAGATATATGGTGGAGGGGTGAAGGGGCTGGTACAGTATAACTAATGAGCAACAGCAAAGCCAGTGAATGACAGTATGATGCTGTACATGGATGCTGAGGCCCAGGTAGTGATGTGGTAGTAGCAGAGAACTGGTGCTTGAAAAGACAGCCTAAAGTAGATAGGACCTTGTAAAATAAGAGATGGTGTCCTGATTGGGTGTGAATCTTTGGCTGGGAGGAACCGTTCCCAATTTTATCCCAATTCTTTTGTGGTCATCCAACTCTGTCTGGATCAGTAAATCATGGTTAGAATTCTTATGTTTGCTGTGTTTTTACTACCTAGTCAGTCACTGAGGTCAATATAGGTCATTTCTTTTCTGAAAGACCTTTGATGATAATGTGTCACTGCCACTTAGGTTCTGTTTGACAGCACGTCAAAACAACTATAAGTTTAGCTGCACCGCTGACTGTGGGCAGAAGCAGTGCAGTTGCATGATCTGAGGCTCTCTGTGCACCACGCCGTGTGTCGCAAGAGGCAGACTAAACACAACAAAAAGCAAGCCATTTATTATGGCTGATGAAAAGTCCATAAATACAAAGTGCATAAGAAAAATAACAAAATAGAGACTATAGAAGTGGAGACAGCTGGGGCAAACTAGACGGATATAGGCAATCAAGAGAGGGAGACAAGATCAAGTTCAAGGGGGCCAAATACTTTTACAAGCCACTGTAAATCACCTTTTCAAAGATGCTTAAACATAACTGTGAGGATGAAAAATGAAATCAAAACAGGAATCAAGCCCTCAACCTATACTTAAAAAAAACAAACAAGCTATAAGACCAAACAGAAAACAGCCAATAAATGACAAAATCCAGAAATCAAAAGATTCAACTCTATGTAACAGACCAGGCATTATAACACAGTGTCCAATTAGTTCTCCAAGTGGAACTAGGTGACATGGCAGTTTAATATTAGCATGCACGATCCAGGACTGCATTCTTAGAAAAAAGCTTTCAGCGTGGTTATGACTTGAGAATAAGCCGAAAAGCAGACTGGAAGGAGATTCGTCTGAATTACGGCCCTTTCTTCTCTGAGCCATGTGTCTCTCATGTACTTTGTACTTTGGTTCATATTCATTATCTGCATTGTGAATGACAGCTCCTTACATCAATCCTCTTTGAAGATTATCACCATTGTGAAAGATCCCCATTAAGTGCTTACATTTTGGGGGGTCTCTTAAGCACAAGTGTGTTTTTTGTGTGTTAAACCATAACAGCCCTTTCTACACCACTTGGCTAAGCTTAACAAGGGGGGTCTTTTAAGTTTTCAATGCGTGACAAGGAGATACACTTGAACCCTCTTACCATACCTCAGTCAAAGGTCTCAATTTAAAACAGCAATTCATATGCTAAAGTAAAACCTGCATTATTAATCAGCATTTGAATTCTCCCCTTCATCACGCAGCACTTCCCCTTCGTTCGTTTTCCTTTTATGTTTTTCACCCTTCTCAGTGTTTTCCTTTCACTTTTCAGTTACTCCTGACTGAAGGTCTTCTTTGTGCAAGTTAAACAAGCAAATGTATTCCAGAGGCATGTGGTTCACTTGTTTATTTTCATAATTAGTGAAGGAAATCTGAGTCAGTCTGTGATGCTCTGTGTTGTCTTTCCAACCGCATTGGCTGGATTACAGTGTTTATGCTCAAATGTATATTATTAATTACAGTTTGTGTTTAGCCGCGTTGGACAGCTGCACTCTCCGATGATGGTTTGTTACAGAGTGTGTGGTTGTGTTTCAGAATGATGTGGGTGGGCTGAGGAGTCTGACCAATAAATGGACAACCTTCCTCAAAGCCAGACTTGTGTGTTCCATCCCTGGGCCAGATGGCGTGGACACACACTTTGATCAGCTCCGTAAGTGACTGTAAGATTAAAAACTGAAAATCTGGTCAATAAAGTCAGTTATATGTTCTAAAAATTGTCTTCTAAGAACATTTCATACAAGGACGAAAATGCATCAACAGTACCACATGGCTAACGGTGCTACCGACTGCAGTTCTTCAATACTGCAATTTATTGTTGGATGCTCGCCTAAATCTTTTCTGTTTGGTTATTGATAACAAAAAAAACCAAAAACTTTTTCATTCTTTTTTATTTTGTAGAGGATGTCTTTCTACTCCCAACCAGAGATGACAAAAACCCCATAGTGTATGCAGTCTTCACAACCTCTAGGTATGATTTTTATCAACACAACCTCAGGTCCTTTCCTGTTTCTCCAAGCATTAACCTGACCTGTTCTTTTTACTTTTCCTCCAGTTCCATTTTCCGTGGCTCAGCAGTGTGTGTTTATAGCATGGCAGACATAAGGGCTGTGTTTAATGGACCTTATGCCCACAAGGAGGGGCCTGACCACCGCTGGGTAGAATATGAGGGGAGGATACCATATCCCCGTCCTGGAACGGTATGTTGTATGCCAAAGAGAAGAGCATAAAGGGAAAAAAAAGAAAAGAAATCATCTGTACCTTCTGCACTTATCACTGTTAGCTATTCTGTTTCCATATATTGGATAAGGTGTTTAATTTTCCTCCTAATTGAAAAATTATAAACATGGCTTTAATGTAAAGGTTTGCTGGAGGGCATACTTACATCTGCACATGCAGCCTGATAATGCATGACCTTCACTTACACTTTGATGAGGTTACTTGACAAGTTAATCAGATTCATGTTTCATTTTGTTTAAAAAAAAGATTAATTAAGCGAAGTAATGTGATGGACAATTTGGTGCTGACATCAAGTGTGAAACAGATGTTTCACATATGCTTTGTCTCCTGCTGTTCTTATTTTAGCCTCTAGAAGGAGACACATACCAATAAATTGTTTGAGTGAATCTGCTCCATAGTTGAACTGGTGGAAGGAAATACAGAAAACACGGTCACTAATCAGCTGTGATTTTTTTGTAATTTTAGTGCCCAAGCAAAACATATGATCCAAGGATCAAGACCACTAAAGACTTCCCGGATGAAGTTGTCAGATTTATTCGATTCCACCCTCTGATGTATCGCTCTGTCTACCCTCTCACTGGTCGTCCTGTGTTCACACGTGTGAAAGTTGACTACACCTTGACTCACATTGTGGTGGACAGAGTTTTGGCAGATGATGGCCAGTATGAGGTTATGTTCCTGGGAACAGGTGAGTCACACCTCTCCTCCTAGTTTTTGTGAAAGTCAACATTTGACCAGCAGAGGGCAGTATATTACTTGTTGTTTTCGTTGGCATTGGACAGATTTTGTGTAGGGTGAAATGAACATATACAGTCTATGTTTTATATGCTTCTCAAACAACTCTCTGAAGATATTTTGGTGGTAATTTCACCCCTCTTTCTTTCTGTCTCACTCTCCTAGATGTTGGCTCCATTCTTAAGGTAGTGAGCATCACTCAAGAAAACTGGTCAACAGAGGAAGTGGTTCTTGAAGAGCTTCAAGTGTTCCAGGTTTAGTTCAAAACACAGTTATTCAAATAAATACACACATACGTTACACACTGATTTGCTGAGTTTTGTTTCCTCATAGTGTAACTGTCAGTGACTTATAAGACAGTGAAATATTTATATGTAATGAATTCATAACTGACCTCCAATAATTAATATCCATTAGCTTTTAAGTTGATGGAGTTTGTTTTCTTTTTGCAGAATCCCTCTCCTATCCTTAGTTTGGAGATCTCGTCTAAACAGGTTTGTTCTGCACACTTTGTGCAATTGTTCGTGCAAATTTGCTCTTCGCTTCGATTAAGCCACATGCATTAAGTTATATGCACATGGCTTGTGTGGCACAAATCATATAGTTTTTATCTTGTTATTCATGTTTTGGTTTTCCTCTCTGTCTGTAGTCTTCCCCATTTTCTTGTAGCACTCTCACCCTTACGCCTCATTATATAAGGGTCAGGAATGTCAGTAGACACTTCAACCCCAATCACAGCTTCCATTAATCACCAACAGTGTTTGACCTGTGTCTGTGTGCCTGCCCGCTAGAGTTTTGAGGCGAGTCAGACTAGATCCAGTTGCAACTGCGAAATTCAGCCTATTCATTTTGCAAGCCAAATGTCAGCCTTCACAGAAACCTAAGAATATCTTGGAGTATTCTTTAGGTTATAACCTGATTTTCAAAAAGTAGTAATCATTTAAGAAACTTAACCATGTGCTGTTAATAAAATAAAAAAATATATCAGACTCATATCTATATGCAGCCAATCTTTCAGCAGTATGCGCTATCCTAAATTGGTCCTACACCACAAAGGAAACCATATGAAGACTATGCACTAAAGCATACTAGATCAATAGCAACCTTGCAACCGAACTTTTTAGAACAACAAAGATTTCTTTAAGTTTCTTGAAGACGTTTCACTTCTTATCCAAGAAGCTTCTTCTTTAATTCCAAGCTTAGAACTGACTAAGCTGGTGAAACAACTTGAAGAAACTACCAGATCTGTTTTATATGAACTTGTTTCAGTGCCAACTCTGTAATTACATCCCATAATACACTGAAGCAAAAATGCCTTCAAATCAGAAGTATCACCTCACATAGTTCACTCAAGGCCTTCCGTCTGTAGTCTACTGTTCTGTGTAGGTGTTTATGTTTTGTTGTCCTAGCAGCCTTGTTTCTGTTGATTAATGCCATCTTCGTTCTGTATTGTAATGTGATTTTTATCTGCAACAGATCAAGAACTTAGTGGAAGCCGGTTTTTACTCACTCAGAGCAGTTTAAATGTAATGTATTTAATGTTGCGTAGAATCTTTTTCTTTATAAAAATAGTACATGGTGTACAAAGAAAATGTTATGCTAAGAAGGGGAAATCTTTAAATCTCTATGTGATTCATTTAAAGCAAACATGTTCTGATAGATGAAGAATGTTAATGCGGAAAGAGGAAAACTTTTTAATAAATATAATTTTAATATAGAACAAATATTTTTTCCATAAAAAATAGTTTTAGCTTTAGCAGACTTAACTAATTAACTATTTACGCAACATAGTGATATGTCCTCTGTTGATGATGTACAATTGTTAAAGTTGAAGGTGCTTTGTATGTTTGTATGTCTTGAAGCAATGTTGTGTTTTACCATAGCAACAGCTCTACGTGGGTTCAAGTGAGGGTCTAGCCCAGGTTTCACTCAGCAGATGCCACCTATATGGCCAGGCTTGTGCTGAATGCTGCCTGGCACGAGATCCCTACTGTGCCTGGGATGGACACACATGCGCACGATACATCCCTGCCTCTAAGAGGTATGCACATGACACTTGTAGTACTTTTGTATTTTTGAAATGTCCTCATGCATTAATTCAAAGCAGTAAGCCTGAAACAAGTATCTGAACAAACCCCAAAATAAAAGGAAATCATTAGAGTGCAAATGTGGACCGGTGAACACTGACTCGTTGGTTCCATAGTTTGCCAGGGGGTGTGTCTGTTTGTGTGTGTTTCCAAGGCTAGTTCTTAATGCCGGAACTCTCAGACGTTCATAGCTCTCCCTAAATTTTTTTTCTGTTTTCGTTCTCTTCACCTCACAATATTTTCCAAGCCATTAGGTAATTATTTTTCTCAGGCAATGATTAAAGATGTTTCAGCGTGTTTTCGGCTGACACTGTCATTCCAGACTTGCAGAGTGTGGTCCTTGAGGTGAAAATCAAATCCTGTTCTGTGTTTTTGTTTGTGAGCTTGCTTGCATGAATCCAAGCTCTGAACAAACTGTGCCCTACAGTTTGGGTTCATAGTGCCATATTATTGCCCAGTAGGGATTTTGTTATGGTTTGTACAATAGTGGAGGCCTCCAGGGCTCTTTGAAAGCAGATCTTCAGAGTGTCAGGGAATGTAGGCTACAGATGTCCCACCACACAGGACTAGCAGGAAGTGGAGGAAGAAATCAATACAAACTGAAGGAGCCCAAGTGAGCAACACAAGTCAGAGGTCAAAGAAACTTGTTTCTTTCTTCTTTAAAAAAAACACAAAAAAAATAAAAAATAAAACTGGTACACTCTAAATGTTTTTGCAGGAAAACAGATAAAAATACCAACAAGATAATTCCGCCAACTCTCTGTATGTATGTATGTATGTATGTATGTATGTATGTATGTATGTATGTATGTATGTATGTATGTATATATGTATGTATATGTATATGTATATATATGTATATGTATATGTATATATGTATGTATATGTATATGTATATATATTACAATATCTCCTATTGTAGTAATAGACAAGATTGTCTTATGGAATAAAATGGTGTGGTTCTTCTTCTTTAGCTATACAACTATAAAGCTAATGCCACCCTACACTTAAAGTGCTTTTGAAAAAATAGTAATTCTCAGACAATTTCTTCACGGGTTTATTATAAGTAATGGCAAATTTGGCATTCGTGTGAAGTATGTCAGAAACATTCATTTTAATAACTATTTGTTTTTCTGATTTACAAAATGCAGTATTGAGAAACACAAAGACAGGTATTAAAAACCCTTTTTCTGATTTTTTTTGGTTTTCAGTTTTCGCATGTTGCAGTGTTAACATCAATCTGGATTTACCTACTTTAATGACTGAAAAGAATTTCACATAATTTTCATATAACAGCGTTATTACCAACTTTGATTTTGGCTTTTTTGGCTAATTATGGCTGTTTGTTTTATAATGTCTAATTCCTGTCGAACCTTTAACTGTGATAATATGGTGATGCTAAAATTGTAATTCATAGAATAGAATTCAGATAAATGTCTAATAAGGACTTGATGAGTGGATAATCTACTAATATAATGTACACAATGCATATTAAATTAGCTGGATGCTAAGGTTGTGAAACTCCCCTCGTGGAGAATACTGGACTGTGAGTGTAAAGCATAAAAGTTCTTTGTATTTTAAATTCTGCATCTCAATACTGAAGACTAAAGTGGTCATACACTTCCTTGTTTTTTATTTTGTTTCTGTGTTTTCTTGCAAGGCGAGCTAGAAGACAGGACATCAAGAATGGAGACCCTGCCATGCAGTGCTGGGACACAGAAGACAGTATGTACACTTTATGTCTTAAGGGGTTCGGCCACTATTTGTTTTTGTAAAGCATTTCTTAAAAAAATCAGGAAAGCATCTGATCACTTCAAATTCTGTCTGCTTGATAATGAACCTAAACCCGCAGACAGATTCAAGAAGAACTATAAACAGTGTCAAGAAAGACAAAAAAATCCTGCAACAGATGGTATGGCTCCCACGGAGCTCCGATGTCAAGATTACAGAGTCAGTTTGGGATCACATGAAGAGACAGAATCAACGGAGAACGGAAGTTTTTCAAAGAAATATGACAATATGTCCAAGATACTTTCATGTTGGCTGACACAGCTGAAATTTGTGTGCTTGTGTATCCATTGTTGCGGTTTTCATGTCATGCAACAAACATGTTTTTAATGACAGTGATGTCCTTTGCCTGGTACTGCATAATTGTCACAAAAAATTTTTTTATTATGAGACATACATCAGATACTGTATCTTTGTTAGAACCTGAGAAAACATAGACACTACTTTTGGTTTTTACAGGTCTTGGTACTGGGAGTGTGGAGGAGAAAATTCTCTTTGGGGTGCAGAGCAACTCCACATTTCTCGAGTGTATCCCCAAATCTCAGCAGGCCCGGATTCGATGGTACATGCAAAGACTGGAATCTGAACGCAGAGAGGAGGTTAGAATATTACTGCATTTTTCATAGATTCAGCTCTCCTTCTGTAGTCTGAAAGTGTTTTGCTTTTCTTGGGTTCATGTTGAAGGGGTTGCATTTCTTTTCTTCCTACATCAAAAAGTGGGGAAAGGTTAGAGTGCCTAGGAACAGTGTTTGCTACAGCGGCACTAATTTCTCACAGAAATGCTTCAAAACATCAAAACACACCACAGCGGACTTCATGTGCACTGCTTTTGGAGTGTTGAACTTCTCAGCAATTATTTGTATTAAAAATCTCTGCATACCCATATTTTTAATAATGTCTAAGGCCTTGACAGCAAAGTTTCCAGGCATTGCAAAAACAATAGGGTGGGAACAGAAAGGCATAAAAGCAGAAAGAGGTAATATATTTGTATTTGAGGTGTGGAAAGGAACTAAATAATGATGACAGTTGTCTCCTGATTGAGACAACAGAGATGTGCTTACTCAGCACCTCAGTGCCTTCCCCTCCCCCTATCCAAACATACAATCTATCCTGCACCCACTGCAAGTGGCCCTTTTAGTGCTTAACCTCTCTACTTCCCACTACACTAATTTCCTCCTACCACTGTGCTCTGTCCTCTCTCTCAGGGGTGAATGTAAGCACAGTGACAGGTGCATAGGCCACTAAAGACCCACGTGCTTCTTTATGGGCTCACACTGCACAAAGCTCTGCTTTTTGTCTGTGGGTGGATGAATGCATGTGTCTGTGTTTCTTTATGTACCCCTACAGTGAAAAACTATAACAGAGAACTCCCCAGGGACAGCCACGGGTTTTGGTGCAATAAACACAATGTGGTGTTTTCTGTGTTTGTGTGTGTAGGCATGAATAATATGTGACCTGTTGCACTGTAGACAAAGTGATGGTGGCTTGGATGGAGTCAAATAAAGAAAAGTGATTTAAAATTTCAGGTGTTTTGAATTTTAAGTAAGCACATAGCTCCTTAGGATTCATACCGTAAAAGTACTTTGCAGGCAAAAGAGTTAAAATACAAATATAATCGAGATAATTTTGAGTATAGGTTGAAAACAGTGCTAAAAGAAAAACATGATAATAAGATAATCATGACAAGGATGAAACAAATACCGGGAAGCTATATAAGCTAAAAATAATAATAATTACAAAAAAACACGGCCAAAGCTGGAGCATGAATATGAGATTATTATGTGACTATACATAGTTACTATATATTATACTATAGTATTTTCAAATACATTTGCAAACTGAACAGTGGAAGAGCAAAGTAGTTTATGAGCAATATTGCCTTAAAACACTTTTTTTCTCGTTTGTGAACTCAGACAACATAAAGTAATTATATAATAATTTCTGGTACTTAAATTATTGGCCTTTTTACTTCTTTGTCATGTCGGTTTATACGTAGAATTATAGTAAACACAAGATTGTGCTGCCTCAAAGCAGCAAACATTGATCATAAAAAGGATGGAGATCAAGTGAAAAAGAAGCTGGAGGTCAGAGGAGCGCACACTTTTCAGATGTTGGAATTCACAGTCAGTTGTGTGGGCGATATCTTGAATATGTTCAGATAGCATTCTTGCAACTAATACTATTTGATTTCTTTAACTGTCTTAATTTTTCTCTTTGTTTTAATCACCTAGTGGCAATGGTGTGTTTGCTGATATGTGTGTTATGTATAAAGTTTGGATCTATGTTTTTAGGCCTTTTTTGGATGCAGAATTGAAACTACATCCCTATTACATTAGTTGGGTGTAATAGTTGTATCTTGGCCTTCTAGCTGTGTAAGGTGGTTTATGTGTTCTCACAGCTGCAAAGCATGTGATCATTTAAGTGTCTTGCACATTTCAATCTCTTCTTTTCTGCCCTGTTTTCTTCTGTCATCCTTTTATCTTCCCTGGCCGTTAACTTCCTCCTCAGCCCGACCCTAATCTTTCCTCACGTCCTGCCCCAATACTCCTTGCCTACTTAGCTTCCTCATAACTTTCATGCTGTGTCCACAATTTCCCACAGTTTTCCCTCCTGTGTTTCTGGGTTTTGATAAAGGCAACCTCAGCCAGCTGTTCATAGCACCTGCAGCCCAGTCTAAAACTTACTCTCCTCATAATCTCCTTATTCAGTCCCTCCTCTTATCTCCTAGTAAAACTCAGCTATTAAAGATGTGAGCTAGAAGACATTTTGCCATCTTTCTCACATCATGTTTGTGCACACATGTTTACCTCCTGGAGCCTGCAATGCTAGCCCATTGGGTAATCTCTAATAAGAAAAGTATGGAAAAGGTTAAATGTGTTGCTCAATGCTCATTAGCACAGAGCACCTATTTCTCAGCTTAGGTGGGAATTTCTTAATTTGATACTTAAAGCATCAAATTAACTTAGAGGTAGACTGCAAATATTCTCGCCTGTGTTTCATTTAACAGTTTAAACGTCATCATTAAATAACATTTCATCGCTTTACTCCACATTCATGCAAAGTTGTTAAAACAGAAGAGCATAAGTGTGTTTATGAATGCTATACACCACTATACACTATACACTGGATTGCTTTCCCTTGTAGGAGTTGCTGATGTGATTGCATGCCCAGACACACACAGACATATCCACACACAGGCATACAAATAAAGACAGACCATCTGGCTAAGTTTAAAAGCCTGGCATTGCTATTTAGTCACAGATGCCTTGGTTTTGGATGGAAGAGTGCAGGCGACTTAAAAAGCAATCAGATAGGCACATGAATGCTAATTGGATGATTTTAAAAGGCAGAGGACAGAGAGCCACGTAAGTGTGATTTTTATGTTTTTAATACGTATACCATATGTCAGTCAGGTGTGTCAGGAAATGAGAATGTGGTATGAGACTTGCAAGTAGGTCTAATGTGTGCAAAAGACAACATCCAGAAAGACTCTGAAACCTGTGGGTGTGCCTTTGCCTTGACTACACATCATTAGTGTCAGATCTGGAAACCACCACAGAGCTATCCAAACACACACACACACACACACACACCCACACAGACATAAACACACACAGAGACACCTGTGTATGTAAGAAAAAAATGGTAAAACAAGACCACAGCAAGCACATGGGCAAAAGACATGGTAATATTCTGCATTTCTTATCAGTTACACCTCCGGGGGTCAAAGTGCAGCTGTGGGAGGTATCCCTTTGAAGCAGCCACACTTTCACACATGCTGGACTCACTCCCTCATGCTCTTTCTGTGTCCTCTTAACACAGCTGTGTTTTTTTAGGCTCTGACAGCAGTCACATCATCCGATGAACCGTGGTGGATTCTAGATGGAAATAGGGCCAAAAACATTAGCATGCCACTTACCTTAACGACAAGCACATACATTCCCAGCAGTGCTCAACACTTACTCTCATTATGCATCTAAAGATCTCTCATCACATAATGACCTGTGCCCACCCATGCCGTGAACTATACTCGCCACACCTAATTCCATATGCTTCCCGTTTTAGGGGTCATTACCTTGTTCAACACAACTTGGTTACAAATCTTCAGAAATGTATGTGTTTGAGGAGGGTGATGTGTTAGCTGGGGTTTGTGGTGGTGGGTTGGCATTATGTAGCTCTTATATGTTTCTTGTTGTCTCTCAGGTCAGATTTGATGATCGAGTAATTCACACGGAAAGAGGTCTCCTAATTCGCTCCCTTCATGCTTCTGATGCCGGTGTGTATATCTGTGTAGCTCAAGAGCACACACACTTCACTCATACTCTCCTCCGTGTCACTCTACAAGTTGTTACAAATGGACAGCTAGACAGAAAAGCCAAGCCGAGTGACGACTCTGCCGGGGGGCTACACCATGGAACAGAGGCACGTCAGCGATATAAAGACTACCTGAGAGCGATGAGCTCCCCCTTCAGCTCTCTAGAAGAGTACTGCGATGCACTGTGGCTGGATAAGAGGCCATTGAGGGTTCGAGGGCGAGGCTTAGGAAATGGCAAATGGAAACACATCCAGGAAATGAAGAAAAGCCGGAACAGGAGACACCACAGAGAGAATGTGGAAAAGAAAGAACAACAGAAGCAAGGGAGGGTAGTGAGGACAGCAGAACAATAGACGACAGGATATAGAAACATTAAGGATGTTTATATTAACTGGTTTAAGGATCAAGCTAATGTGACTCAGAACTGTGAAACTGCAGTGTCAGATGAGCAAGTAAACTTTAACTCTTAAAGTGACATGAAAGACGATCAGTGAAATATGCAGTGCAAAAATGCAATATACTTAGCAAACAACTTGAAGTAGTAGAGGTATGTTACAGGAAAACGCACAGTTAACTTTGTAAATAAATTATCCATTGATATCACTCAAGCCTCCGTAGTTTGACAGACTGCTGTTGCTCGTTTTACTCCAAAGTTTCATAGGGCCAATATTCCATTTGGTCATTACTTTCATTATGTATGACTGTAAATATTGATATGACATGTACAGGAGACATAGCATGCTAAGTTTAGTCTTATTACTGACCTATAACAGTAATCATTTATGATGTTATTCTAAAAAAAAATGACATATTTTTGTACAATCCATTTACTCTTGTGTACTGTAGGTGCAATAGAGGGTTTTTTATTATAACTGTTTGTGAACGTTATTTAAATAAATGTGTCTTGGAGCCTCTGTTCCTTAAATTTATTGCTTACTTATATTCTGTGCACAGATAAAATCAGTATGCAAAAACTTTACTGCTGCAGTTACTGGCAGTCTCAAGTATATGACAGGCATACTCGGAATTAGTTAGGGTTAGCTCAGCTGAGCCTCTCCTGATATAGCAACACGAGTCCCTGTACACTGTATGCAGATGTCAGAATGATTCAGGACCAGCTGGTTTGTTTTTTAGTGTGTGTCCCTGTGTGTGTGAGTGTGTAAAGGTAAATGTGTAAAAGACAAGAAGAAGAAGAGAAAGTGGCAACTTCAGTAGAAACCATTTGAAATATAAAAGGCTGTGATCAAACCCAGTTACAGATTTCCCAAAATAAAAATAAAAAGTTGAGATGGCATCAGTGTCAGAGGCATGAGCATGAAAACCAAGCATTATGCAACCCAGTGTGCCTGGCCTGAATTTTATGTACAGACTTACAAAGAAATGGAAGTAATATGATACACAGTGCCTGTATTTCAGGCTGAAAATAAAATGACAAGGCTCTTCTGTGAAAGGCATCATCACAGTCATGGGAGTCCTGTTTTAATTGATTTAGTGGTAACATCTTAAATTTCATTTTGAGTGAGCTGCTGAAATACTGGAAGAAGAGTCACATAGAAAATTAGTCTCAAACTCATATATATATATAAAAAATACGACTTTCAGAAATATTATTATCATTGCCTCATAGACCATAACTACACCATAAATAGCTATAACTGCCTTTATGATGGACACTGTGTTTTTCTTACAGAGACACATTTTATTGTGCTTACTTTCTCCCTATCTAACTGTATAAATAGGTCTCCCATTTTGTGCTTTTCCGCAGTGATTTTCAGAGCTTCTTGTAACAAAGACAATAAATATTTCAAATGCTTCCTCTCTGTCTATTGTTTATTTATCAGTCAGCTGTAAAGAATAAACTGCATCTCCCCCGAACGGAAACAGCAAGAGGACTTTATAAAAACTAGAAAATCTTTTCTTCTAAATATTATTACATTAAAATATTATTTTTACATATTTTTTTTTACATTAAATTATTATTTATCAACTTATTTCACATAAACAAATGTACATGCATATTTTAAGACAATGTATTTTCTTAAATCAAAATTAGTTCAGCTTACCAAACATTTATTTATACTTCACATCGTCCTGTACTGTGGCATTATCATTTCCCCTCTTTAGACCATCACAGCCAACTGCCACAGTACCACCACACTCTCCAAAAAAAACCAATTTGAAAGACCACTAAGGGTGATAACTGTCAAAAATATCAGCTCACTGCTCAGTGTTGCTATTGCTAATGGTTTCATTTCAACAGCATCAACTAATTATCTTATTATTTATTACAACTTAGTGTTCCTTATTTATATATAAGGCTGAATGATAATGTGCTATCCTGCACAGAAGATCTGTTGTCAGATGCCATAAGAGATCGTAATTGTAGACATAAGCATACTATGTGTGCTCAGAGTTAACTTGACCCTCACATTTGGCTGGAAAACAACCCATGAGTGAAGTGATTTGCTGTTCTAGACAGGCAGACAGAAACAGTGGGGGTTAAATGAGGAAACAGAACCATGGAAAGGAACCAGAATCTCTAGAAGGAAGTGGTTAATTTGATGTGATTGGTGTAATGAGCAAGCAAGTGTGCTTAGGAGCCCCTGGAGCGAAGCCTTACAGTGTATTCACACACAGACAAAGGCACACGTACACAGTATACTTCTTTTTCTCCATCAGTGTCATGGCTGTGTGCAGGAAGGCAGAGAGGAAGGACCCAAAATGCAGGACTCACGGAGACGAAAGTAAACTCATAATAAACTGCTTTATTGCAGGCTGCTGATCAAACAGAAGACTAAGTAAACTGGAAAATATAAACTAACAGGCAGGTAAATACAGTTAACAGAACACACAGCTGAAACTGAGGGTGAGTAGACATTGACGACACGACAGAGAACAAAGGAAACACAGGGCTTATATACACACGGCAGTAATCAAGGGATGAGAGACAGGTGGGGAACACACCTGGGAGAAATCACAGCTGACGAGACAGGGGAAACGTAAATTGAACACACTCACATAAGACCTTCAGAATAAAACAGGAAACTAACAGACACAGAGGACCAGACAAGACACCATGGACAGACAGAGGGACATACGGGCAGAGAAGACTAAGCACAGGCAAAACCTAAACTAAACCCAGAAATAATCATCATCATCATCATAGGATAGCTAAAGAATCAGAACATAATTATAATGAGCACAATCTGGAAACACACCAAAATACAAGAAACCGAAAAAGCAGGGTCAAAATGATCCAGAACCGTGACAATCAGTTACATTTGTAAAAATTGGTTTCTCTATGATCAGTGATCCACATGGGCAACTACAGCAAGAATTGGTTCTATAGATGGGATCTACAGGTTAGACATGATCTACAAAGCTATGTAGGTGTTTTAGTGCTTGTTTTAGTGACTTTACCTTACAACATAAAGCACCTACAGGTGGGAGTTGTTGTAATTTGGCACTATATGAACTAATATTGACTTGTGCAACAAGAATTAATCATTACCAGTGTTAAAGGATAAAACTGTCAGCAGCAGTGTTTTTCCCTTTTTTATAGCCTGGGTCAACTGAACAACACATTCCAGTGTTTTAATTGATTTAAAGTGAAAATACACATCAAAAACAGTTATCAATAGTGTAAGTGAAACTGCCTGGCATTAGTTGGGACTAAGAAAAAAAACAAAAACAAAAATCACATAGCAATACCTGTTGACCTGAATCTATCAGCTTCCATTAGCCTGACAACACAGAGAAAGTATTAACGTTATTTTATGCACATGTGCCCAGGTGCAAAACTCCTTTGCAAAGGTGTTTTCTAATGAACCCTGTTCCACAACCTCCACAGTGCCATGCCTGAATCAAGATATCAAAAACTTTGACAGGAAGACTAGAGGGAGAACAGAGCGGAATTGAGATGTCAGACCAAGGAGGTGTTTCTGGTTCTATATTACAGGGCATTTACAGCTGTGCAGATGTGTGTTTGTCAGGCGTTGACAGTGAACTTCTGAGCATGGGTGGAGACCGCCAAGTGGTCTATGATAGCTGTCGGGTTGGGCGGTATTGATGGTGGCCTGCGGGTATTGGAAGGAGAGAGGTATGTGAGTAAGAGGTAGAAACAGTTGTTTCCTCTGAGTAATGACTACCTGTGCTCCCTCAGCCTCATTTACAGACATAAGTGATCTCTCTTCTCTCCGGGATCTGTGGCAGGACATGCAATATTCTAAACACCCCCTATGATAGATGTTTTCATCTGCTGTACAAAGAGCTCCTTTGAACCTCCTTGCAGAAGAGATGTCTGCCTCTGCCCTGTTGGTCTCCCTTGCTGTGGACAGTTTTTGTAAACAGGGCTCAGTCAGGATGTATGTTTACCTGCACTGGGTGTAGTGTGTTTACTGCTGTTAAATATCATATACCAAACATACTGTCCTTAAGAAGAGATTTTAATCAGGTCACAGTTTTTCTCAGAGTCTAAAAGTCCCTGGGACTGTAAAGTACTGGCAAGTTCTTATTTGGTTGTTCGTACAAGTTTCTTGAGTAAAATCACAGAAGAATTGTATGAAAATAAATTATACAGTACATGGCTCACATACTGATTACCAATGGTGAATACTTTTTATTTGATCTGTCTCTTATAGCTTAATCTAGTTTATCTGGCAATTGGTTTTCACTACCAGAACATGAAAAAGACACAAATCTTAAAACTATTCCGAATTTTCCACAATTCCTTTAACTTGAATTTCACATATATCACAAAGAAAGCTTAATGTGCAGATCCTTAGTTTACAGTGAAAGGATTGGAGCCCTAAAATAATAACTTAAATGGCACAATGGGTGAACAAATGCCAATGTTACCTCATAATATTTTCTATTTAACACAGTGAGAAAATGTTGTTAGATAAATGTTTTTGGCAAGCCACAAACTCTGTGTTGCAATCCTTGCCCTGCTAAAGATATTTGTTTCCTAAGCTTAACCACAGATGAGGCGATGATCACAAATTCAAGTCTTCAGTGAGAGAAAGAGGTTTTTGTCATGTCCACCACATCATGCTGTCTCTGACGCAAGTAAAATGAAAACAAAACAAATGAGCCTGAAACTGTCTCTGAAAAGAATTCATCCTCCTTATTTGTGCCGCTGAATATAATTAAAAACTCTTTAGTTGTATTTTTAAGCGATAGCACTTGTGCCATTAAAGTAAAAACAATATTTATTCAACATTTTCTGCTTTGTTTTTCCATGTCTGGTTTATGTAAGGTCTACTGGTTACCAGAGTTTTACAAATTAACTTTACTCACCAGCGTGTTTTGGCTTTTTGCCCCCTCTCATCTTTCTTCTCCTTTTTTGGTTCATCTGTTTGGTGTAGGTTCATCTGTTAAAAGTGAGACTGTCATGTGTACCTTGGTTTGTAGAGGAAGAGAGGAGTCCCAATGAGAGTAAAGAGAAACTGAAATATTACATGAAGGGGAAGAGACACTGGACTAATGTGCATGACTGGAAGCAATCGTCTCCAGTGTCTGCTCTGTACTGTGGAACCCCGAATCAGCAAGAGAGTTGATGAGCTTTAGTAAACATGGAAAACCTCCAGAACATCTGATGGAGGGTTTTCAACAGTTTTCCAAGCTGGGGTGTCACGAAAGCACTCAGATTTCAAGCTTGATTTTTGAGATCAATATACAAATGGTCCCTCTTGCTTTCTTTATATTTTCCTTTCAAACAGCCTTCAGGCTCAACTTCCAGACTGGTTGTCAGTGTAATGAACTCAGCTATGTCAAAACATAGACAGTGTGTGTTTAAAGTGTCAGATTCTTGTCAGTTACTTTGGGTAGGCATTGGCACAGTTTAATACTTTGTTGACTTTAATCTATTGCTGACAAGTCTCGCACTGATGTATAAAGGTATTAGTATTCAAAA